TTTTGACATGCAAAGAAAAATAAGCAAACAAATAGTAATACACAGTGATTGTAAGCGGAAGAAAAGTACGATCAGAAAGGAGCGAACTTGAAGACAGGTAACAAGCGGCAGGTCTCGTCGCTGTCGACTATCTCTTCGCTGGTCTCTGTTTACCAGGCCCGTCGCACGCGAACCAAGCGGCTCATTTGTTTTTGCGGTGTAATCGGAGTCAAGCTGTCGACGCCATGGCACCTTTCTACCTTCCTTCCATCTTGTTTTTATTTCTATCTCTCTCTCCCATTTTAACGCCTGATTTACGTTCTCCTTTCTACACTTTGCTTTCAAAATAATTTATGTGATTTTTGAAATGTCAAATAGTTTTATAATTTTGTTAAAATATGAGATACATATAGCTTTTCATATTTACAACTTGAAGTAAAATACTTATGGGTTCATTAACTTATTTATCTCTCGATATTGTTATTGATATTTTTTAAATTTAACTTAAATAAGATTTAATCATTTCAAATTTATTTTTTATAATATAAATAAAATATGTTATTTATTATTTATATGTTAATAAAATTTATTTATTTCAAATAGATCTATACGATAACATTGCTGTTAAAAGTGAATACATTTTATTTAGATGTTATTGAACGAGTTGGTTTCGATTTTTTAACATAATTTATAATTTACAGAGCAATAGCAAGAAAATTTTATAAGGATAAATAAGATAATAATTAATAGAACTTAGCTAATTAATGTCAAATTATTCATGAAACTGCTGTTCCAATTAACAGCGATTTTTATCTTACTATTCATTATTTTATTATTAGAAAGTACAGCTCCTCATAAAAGTACAATGTTGTATGTACTATTTATAAATGAAATCAGAAATATCTACAAAATTAGAGCAACTTACATATAAACAGGGAACAATAGCAATATGAGTAATGAGCAAGAGGAAGAAAGACAGACAGATAGAGATACAGAGATAGATAGATAGATAGATAGATAGAGAGAGAGAGAGAGAGAGAAAGAGAGAGAAAGAGAGAGAGAGAGAAAGAGAGAGATGGGAGTGAAGGACAAAGAAGAAGCGACAGGGACGTCTGGCGCACTCTCTGGGTCTCATGTAAATCTACTAATTCCGCACGGTACATTAATTATCTCGTTACGTACTCGGCGCGCGCCCTGATGTCGCCAGACTACGTAGACACGCGTGCGCACGAAGAATAAGGGGGTGCTCTTTGCATTCCTTGTTGCCAATTATCGGAACAGAGAAAAAGAGAGTACGTGCGCTACTGTCGTTCTTCTTTTTTTATTAGTACTTTTAAGCACATTATAAGTATGTAAGTTTTGTTCATTCTGTTAAACCTTGATTTTCATAATTTACAAATATAAATACAAACAAATACAATACAAATACAAATAAATTACAAATACTATTCGTACGATAGAGCAAATATTTATTGATCCTTTATAAATTAAATTTTTATTTTACAAAATTCGTAAAATCCGTGCATGCGAGCTAAATTATCGCGCATTAATCCAGATCAGTACATGTGATTCAATACAGTAATTTGGAAATCGTGTGGTTATTATCCAAAAATGAATAATTCTAATTGTTCAACATAACTAAACACTGATTTAAACTAAAAATGAGCATTTTGTAGTGAATTTCTAAACATCTGACTTAAATTAATGAATATATAATATGTAAAATATTATGATTAAAATATTGATATATCGATACATATTAATTAATAATTTGCCATTGATTATACTCAAGAAATATCCAATAATAAAATTAATAACTATATATCTTGGATACAAATTTCATCTTAAATTTAGCTTTAATTTAAATAGTACAGCATCAGCTATAATCTCATGAAAGTAATAAGCAGCGTTATTTAACTTTAAATTCAAGCTATTATAATATTCAATATAGGTGTAAAAATGAAGACTTCAAATTATTTGGAAAATATAAGTTATATCGTTAACCACAAAAGCTTTCTATTGCATAAAGCAAGAAAAGTTCTGTCTTAATCATTTAATAACTCTCCTTTAAACCTTTTAACTCTTAGCGTCCCTGCCATCTTTGATGTCGGATGATCATATAAAACGTATAGATTCAACAAAATTTACAATTTATTAGCATAAACTATAAAATCATACAAAATTCTTTCATACCGTTAATGCATATTCATTTGTCTATCAAAAATTTTATGGCTCGTAATGAAATTAAATTGCTAGATATTATTTAAATAATTGTTAGTTATACACATCTAATGCATATCGTTAACTTATACATTCTTCATTTTTCCGAATATCATTTCAAGTTATTGTTAATGATGTAATAATTGTAATTAATTTAATAGTATATTTCCAATTAGATGTATTCAAAATTTTTATAATATATAAGTAGATTATAAAATACAATACTTCACTTTAATGAAGATATGAAAATATTTGCTTCAATATCTAATTAATACATTTTTATAATGGTTTAATATAAAATTGAGCAAAACTTATAGTACTAATTTTTTATCTATACTTTATTAAAATATTGTATTAAATTTCTTAAAGTATTGGATTATTTGAAAATTATATATCATTCATATACAAAAAGCAACTGTTTAATAATTTAATTTAAATTTAATATATATCTAGCTTTCCTGAAATATATAATAATTATGTATACATTATTGCATGTTTCACAAAAAAGATAAGCCTTCGACTTCCTCGAATTTTACCTCAATAATACTTTACGAAAAAATATTTGTGAGTCCACATTGCAGCGGTGTCCCATCTTCAATCGCACGGGCAAGTGTCTACTAAATAACGTTCGCAAGCAGCAAACATCCTTTTGAAAATAAATAGCTTTTAATATAGCGACAATTGAATAAAAAAATGTTTACGATGTAGGGTCAAAGGACTTACCACATTTCAGAAGCCCTTGTATTCTTCGTCCTTCGTCCGCTATATCGTGGTCTCCCCATCGGTAGAGGATTCGTATGAGGCGTGAGACAGCTGCCGGTCACACTAATATCGTGCACGTATTTTTCAAGCCGGTGCTGGGATTTTTTCCATTTTAATATTTTTCCTTACATCCAGCTGTGCATGCCTTTACGAGTTGCTAAATCATATACGTTGCCTGGGACACGCGTCACTTCCTCCTTATGCACTCAATACTTCTCCAAATTTTCGATCTTGAATCCACTTTGCAAAGTTCTTCAAAGACTATCATGCAGACAAATGTTTGAAACTGGACGTTTTATTTTCTGCTTTTCAATAATAGTTTCTAAAAAAATATTAGTATTTCATTTTGTGTGAATTATCAATACTCAATCTAAATAAATAAAAAATTTAAAATTACTCTCCCTTTTTATAATTTTAAAGCAAGCAAATACTTCCTTGGACTTTTAATTTAATTTTATAAAATTTATTAAGCTATATTATTTATGAAACTTTTATTTTATAAAAAATTAGAAACTAATAAATTTTATTATAAATTAATCATGTTATATTATATCACAGAACATATTTCTAATATATTTGTAAAGTTATTTCTTAATTACTAATAATTATTGATTCATTTAACTGCAAGTAAAAATTATTTATAAAGAAAAAGTTCTATTTTTAAAAAGTACAGAAAGTATATATATATGCAAGCATATTTATTTGAATACTCTTATATGAACTTGAATAACGTTTTTTATATTAATCTATTTTTTCTGTTCAGTATATTTTTTAAAATATTTTACTATTATATTTATTATAAAAGAAACTGTTGAATATATTACTTAAATGCAAAAAAAATTTTATGAAATTAAAAAATTATAATTATATCACTTGTCGTACGAAGCTGGATCTTGACGCACGTGTGTCACATGTCACCCTATGGGAGAGACATTTCCTTTAACATAAAAGGGGTCTCTTTCTCGTTCGGATTTTCTCTTTATTTATCTCTTGCATTCATTCGTATCTCACATATATCTTGAGAGACAGAGAGAAAGAGAGAGAGCGAGAGAGAGAGAGAGGGGGAGACAGAGAGCGGGACAATTTTAAACTGAAATAAATTAAAATGATAGTAAGGAGTGTATTATATAGTGAGGAGAGGATAGGGCCTTTTTTGCAAAAGGGTGCATTTGGTCTTTATTCTCCATATGGACCGTTTACAATTGAAGGACAGTGAAAGGGACGAAAAGATCGGAGTATCAATTTGTGACAATTTTTCGTTCTGCATACGCCTATATTATGGAGTCCGCCATTTAATATAGATATTATACGTATGTGATAAAAATTTGGAAGTTATGTTGGATAATGTAATAATTTCTGTATTCATTAAATGTGGAGTTAAAGATTATGAATCTATAGACACATCTTTAAATTATGCAAGTATTTTACTTTATAAATATGTAAGTTAATAATTATTTTTTAAAACATATTAGTGATATTTTTTAATCGAATCAAATAACATTCTACATACATTTACTGATTTTTATGATTGTAACAATTTTTAATGTATTAATTTTATAGAAATAATTTACCAAATGATTAAATTTAAGTTTTTTCTTATGACCTATATTTTATAATAACATTTAATTCCTATAGAATAAAATATTAGAATTAAAGTATTTTTTCCTTATGTTTATATCAATTTGAATAATTAATCAAATTAGCTGAATTATCTATTTAGTATTGAATAAATTATTTTAATAAATATAAGGTATGCTTTGTAAAAATGCAATATAAACTTTAACATAATGTAAGATATAAAACTGCAGTTTTAATAAATAAAAATATTCATATTTTAAATTGCATATTCAGTTTTTGATCACTTGCAATCACATCATATATCAGTGTAGTAGATTAGGAGCTATATATGAAAAAAAATTGAAATAAAGAATGTACAAAATATTGCAAAATTGGATATTATTCATCGCTATTCAAAAAATTCAAGGTACTTAAGATATTGGTCTTCATTAACGCAATCGATATGTATAATTTTCATGTATGGGCAAATGTTAGAAAAACATGGGGTCGTTTGAGCAATTTACCTTTGAAATGAATTGATAAAAATCAAAAGTATATCCAGCGAAGAGAGGTATCGAAAATTCGCAAGACCTACTTCCATAAAAATCAGCAGGTGAATTATTATTATGCGCACTTTTACAAGTGGTGCTGCAGCTGGCCCTAATTTTTATTTCTTTTTTTCTTGATTCGCACCTCCCCCTTCCTCAATCTCAATTTCGATATTATGTCTTATAGTTTTTTTCAACATTAAAAAAATTACAAAAGTACAAAAGAAGATAAAAATAAATTATTATTCATAAAATTGATAATATATTTAATTGTAAGAATATTTAATTAATCATGAAATTGCTCCTTTCTTAAAATGTGTAAAATCTAAATGTTGCTTTATATTTAATAGATTATATTTTACATATGTTCATAAACTGTTTCATAAAAGAAGTTAAAAATAATTTCATAATTACTTTTTTTCCTATCAGCTAGTATTCGTATGTCAATCAGTAACGATAGGCTCGCCTCTATATTATTCCGTGACTCATTAAAAGATCAACATCAGGATGCAAGAAACAAGGAAACCGCGAAAGAGCTTGCGGTTAGACTGACTTTGCTCTGCTCTGTCAATTACTTTGTTCCCCGTGAAATTATGCGCAGTTCCTGCTCAGGAAACCGGGCGCTGATTCACACACTCGGGGTGATGCGATAAACTTCAAAGCATTTACAGGCTATCAATCCATAATTATATTTCTACATTCAACGACTATTTGCCCTATGGTTTTACAATTTTTTTCATTACTAACTACATTTCCTCTTTGTATATTCAAAAAATTATGGTCAAACAAAATATTTTCTTTAGTATGGTGGCACATATTCATCGCCTTGATACGTCTGCAATTTTAGTTGAATATTCTTAAATACATATATATTCTTATAATAGATAATTCAATTGTACTATTTATATTTCTGTCCATAAATTTCTGAGTTTATCAAGCTCTTGTACATCCTTTATATTTATTTGCTTATCATCTAAAACTTGAATTTTATATTTAATATTACATTTTATTATTATATGGAATGTAAAATTTTAATTATATTTTTAATTATTTTATTTATTTTTACAGGGTTACACACCTCTTCATATTGCCTCACAGTTTGACCATGAGAATATTTTCAATTTACTAGTCCAAGTTTATGGTAAGGTTTACTTACTTTCTTTTAACATAAATAAAAATAATCAGAATATTTCAGTTTTTTCAATGAAGTTTTATCAAAATATCAAAAGTTTGCTTAATACTATAATATAAGTATAATATAATATAATATAATACTATAATATATATAATATAATACAATAATACAAATAATAATTATATGTACAATTTTTTATTTCTAATATATTCATTTACTCCAATTATTTTAAAATAAAAAAAATAACTCTAAATATTTTGAAAATTATAAAGTTGTATTCTTTAATATTAATTTGAAAAATAACATATTAAAATAATTTTATGAACATAATTAATCTTCAAAAAAGGACCATATTTTTATATTAAAATATTGTTATTACATTTATCCATGAGATATATAAATTATATATTTAATTTATTTAAGACTTTAATTGATTATTAAGAATTAAATATAAACATTAGCATAGGGTATGTAAATAAATTTATCTAACAATTTATAGTGCTTTAACAGTATCGAATACCCAATAAGTTGATATGAAAACATTAAATATTTTTAATATTAACTAATAATTTTCAATTGCAAATTATACATTGAAAATTATATGTATATATTATAAATTATTAGTAGTAATTATAAAATATATATAACTAATAGAATGTTTATTAATTTTGAGAAAATATATTATCAGAATAAAAATTTACTTGGTATTATATACGCAGTAAAATATTACTTTATGATAAACAACATTCATTTTTAATTTATTATATATTGTTTTTTCAATTCTAGAGTTTACAAAAAATTACAGAATCTTCGAAAAATACCAATTAAAAATGTTAATCTTTTTTTTATAAAAGTATTGTTCATAAACGAAGAGATATTGAATTTTACTATTATTTTTAGTAATTAAAAAGTTAGTTCAAAACGTTAAAATGATACAAGAAATAAAAAATATGCACGAGCATACTGTACCAATAGCAACATAATGATTCGCTTATTACAAACTCTTGATTTACCTACTATTTTAATCTCGAATCATGGTACATTCGTAGCTGTTGGTTTTTTTACTATAAAAAATTTTGCATTGCAAAAATAAAATTATTTTTCGATTTTATAAAAGATTGTTAAAATTCATGTAAGCTTAAAAATAATGACGATTTTTAATCAATTGATACATTACCATTTGAACTTACTTGAGGAATGAAGTGCAGTTGAAAAGTTGAAAAAGTTGAAATATTAAAGAATAACTCAATAGTTGATCTTTTTTCTTTCCATCCCATATTTTTTTATTTTGATTCATTTTTTTCAGTATTCATTTTATATTATTTATTATGGATAAATGCTTTTATATAAAATTTTTATTTTGTTCGTGCAGGAGCCAATCAAGATATTCGCGATTACAGTGGGAAAAAAGCCCGACAATATTCAATTTCACAAAAAGCCGCAGTTAGCCAAGATACGATACGCAGTAAGTATTTTTATTATAACAAACTTGAGAAACCTAAAATAATTAAATATATTTATATATATATATATATATATATAAATCTTAGAGTTCCTAATTTACTATATATCAATATTGTTAATTTTAAATTATTTACTAATACAGTAATTTAAATATAAAAACATTTATTATTATGTAAGGAATATAAATCTTTTAAATAAGACGAATAATTTTAATGTAAATAAAATAATTTAAAAAATAAACTAAAATCACTTGTCATATTAAATAGATTTTTCAGAATATTTTAATGTAGTTTCCAATATAATTAATATTACAAGTAGAAATTAAAATTTTAATTAAAAATCTATATATAACTGTATTTCACAAGGAGAGCTATATTTTATTAACGCACATAATTAATTTTATTTTACAAAGTAAATTTAATTAAACAATAAATTATTAAATCTATATTTTTACTATCGAAATTGTTATTTAAATTTTTATTATATTATATTATGACGTACATTGCTTAACTACAGAAAATTGAAATTGATCCGATATTGAAATCAGTTTTCTTTCCTTAAATTAATAATTTGTATCGATTTATTATGTTTAAATAATAACTTACATAGATTATTATGCATGATAAATTTTTAAAATACACAATAAAACATTCCAGTATTTAATAAACTTATACAAAAACAAAATATAATAATGTATTTATACTGATTCTTTTATTTATAACTGATTATTATGCAGTTGTATAATGAATTTAAATATTATATAATGTTATACAATTAATTATAATATAATATGTAACATGTAGATACAATTAGTGAGAAAAGTTAAATCACAATTACATTAAAGAGTTTTGTAATGAATTCCTGTAATTATTATTTTATTGCTACTTTATTGGTTATATTTTTAAATTAGATCGTAATCAGAGAAAAACTATAGAATTCACAATCATTAGTAAGTATCCAGTAAACCATATAAATTATATTTAGACGCTTTATGTAATAAAAACAAATAATTCTGTATAATTATTTTTATTATTTATAACTTGTAATTTTAATTTATTAAAAAGTAAAGTGTAAATTTGCATTTCAATAATTGTATCACAACAGGATAATATGAGCATTAAAATTGTATTTTTAATGTTTTTACTTTTATTTTGTAATAGATATTTTATTTAATTTTATAGTAGCCTTTTAAAATTACTTCGTATATAATTTATAAGAACTAAGATATAATGATGTAGTAACTAACTATACTGTTTGAATTTTCTCTATATTATAGTTAATTTAAAAAAAAAAAATGATATAAATTAAACTACTTAACAATTATTACAGAACTATATCTCATAGATGCAAACAAATTTCAGCACAATCAAAATAATTTACAAAATTTCAATAATCTTGAATTGAATATATTAAGATTTTCATCTAATGAATTTTATAAGTTTTTTATTTTCTACTTAATGTTGTTATCTAATTAAGAAACTTTAATAATTCCATGTATAAATTGATATTTTTTAAGATATCGTTTTATTTTATTGTAAATATACAGATTTTACCAAACGTATTTATTTCAGACAAAATTAATATTTTTAGTATTTATATATGTTAAAAATGTCGTTTTATGTTTTGTCGAAGCATCATAGTACAATAATTATTAATTTTCTAATTTAATGTAATTATTTTAATATTTATTTTCACTTTCAGAAATAAAGGCAAGAAAAAAACATACAGGTAAGAAACATTGATCATGATGTTATAATATAGTGTTTATTGTAATTATTTGTATTGTTTATTGTTGGATTTATCACATTGTTAGTAATTCGAATTAATATTAAAATCCTGGACATTAGATTAAGATAACAATTTTTCAAGACAAATTGGAATTTCTTATTTTTGAGAAGGAATCATTCGTTGTATTTGATCAATTTTATTGTACATTTTTATTACCACATTATTGAATTAAATTTTATTACAAAATATATAACATTAACAGTTCATTACTTTTATAATAAACAAATATTTTTGTTAACTTCTTTCTATATTTATATACAATATTTCATAATAACATTATTGGTCTTATTTAATTAAGGCTTTATCTACAAAATCTTCGTTATTGTAATAAATGTACAAATACTTTTTTATTTAACATTGATATTGAATTTGACCGATTTTTTATATCATTTTAAATTCAAATTAAATTTTTTTAGTTATATCATGTTTAATAAATAATATTATATAATTAAATCATATTTTTAATACAATTTTAATTAGATAGATTGAAAATATTATTAAAATAAATTAAAATTTATAGTGAATTTTTTCATACTGAGTATGATATTATAATAGCACTACTTATAATTATATCATCAATGTGATATATTATAAAACGAAAAATATTTGGTATATTTGAATTTAATGCATAAAGCTGTAATTTTTTTACTATCTATTTCATAACTATCAATTTTAATATCAATTAAATAATTATTATTAATTAATAGTTTATGAAAGCTTGTTAAATACCAACTTTTTTATAAGTATTTTAAAAATAATTCTTATATAAAAATAATAATTTAAATTTTTAATATTTGATACGTATGTAGGAATAGTTACAATTAAATAAGAAATGTTATTATTATTGTATCGTTTTTCATTGCATAGAAAAAGATCTTGGTTTTCTACGTATTGGTTCACTAAACGTCCGCGTGAAACGCACCACAGAGGCTTTCAGCCAGTTTTTAGGAGTAACAAATAATGCCTCTAGTAATAACGAAAAAATTCACAAAATTTGGGGATCTGCGGATAATTTACCAGTAAGTTAATTAAGTTATTTATATAATACATTTCATTTTATTAGATTACTTTAGCAGATTTTACGTTGTGATCCATTTATTTCGAAATTCCACAAATTTAACATTTTCACCTTATTTCTAAACTTAAATTTGTAGTAAATTATATTATTATATTTAAGAGAAAAATCAGAATATAATTAAAAATAATAATCAGATTTGAAAGTATTCAGAGGCGAGATTAAAATTATTTTTTAATTATTACAACATTTAAACTGAATCGTTATATTAATTAAATATAAAAAAATATTGTATATTTTATTAAAACCTCTAAAAAAAAATGTGAAAAGGACTTGGTGTGTTTATATTATATTTTATTATTGAACCGTTATAGTTTTTATATAAAAATTATAGATTTTGAATTCAGTTTATCGAATATGATATACTTACACAAAAAATATAAATTGAAGCGAAATAAATATTTTGTAAATATATAAATTTAATACTTTATTAAAATGATTAATATTCTAATATAATTTGATTTATATCAAAATTTCAGATTGTAAATTTTATTTTTCTAGGCGGATAAAGTTATGCCACCTCCGAATTACACACCAATTAAGAAGCGTCGTAGTCGCCGCGGTATAGATTTTATCTCCACCCGTTCTGGCGTTATTCGGCAGGAAAGCACAAGCCAACCTGGAACTCCAACACTGCTTGGTAAAACCAGTCGTCGTCCAGCTTCTGTATCCGCTCTCACAACCGGTAGCCTATTCACTGAGATACTTACTACTAGCAATAGTTCATTGAAGGAACATCAACAAAAGCAAAACGACTCTGACTCAGATGGAGCTTGCGGCTTTGACTCAGCTTGGCGTGAAACCGCTTAAAATTTTATCCTAGCAATTGTACTTTGAACGTTTACGAAAGTGAAGTGCATGTATAATTATTAATTAATCATTACGTTATGTTTAGATTAATTAATAATAAAATTAAACTGCTACTTTGCTGACCCATTGATCAAGAAGATTATTTCGCAAGAATTCATTCGCAAGCGAATCAATGCACTTTTTATTATTTTATTATTATTATACATTTATTATACTTTATTATTATTTATTATTTTATTATACAAAGTTTATATAAATTCTCATATAGTTAATTTTTTTAATTTACATATTTTAAAGTATTGAATTTAATATTATCGGTCAATTTAGATGATTTAAGTTATTGTGTACACAAAAGTCTATTTAGTACTTTAAATTTAGGCAATTACTTCATCGGTAAGCATATTAAATGATATTGATTAATTTGAATTTAATAAAAATGTTAAATACATCATTGTATTACGCTACTACTGATCACGTTATTCCGCATTACTTGATAAATTTTACTCAAAATTTACTTTAAACATAATGATTCAAAAAACTTAAAAATTGTATATTCAATCATATATCCTAAACTGTTCCTTATTAACACAAAATCTTGCTTATTATGTAACTATAAATGACTAAAATATTTAACGTTGTAACTTAGCCGTTTTCACTAAAGTGTTTTGTTTAGCATATATCACATACCTGTATTATAAATCATTATAATTTTCATTTTATTATTTATAATTTGCTTGATAAATATTAAATTAGTTTTTAGTTATTTTATGGTAATATGTTTTTTTTTCTAGGCATATTAGTCATATCTATATAATTCATTTTTCATTTTTCATGAATATACTTTCACAAACAGCAAAAAAATATAATATATATGTGCTTTTAATTAAACAATAGTTTATTATAAATAAAGTATTTATTTGTTTTAAATAAATAGAATTCAATTTCATAACATTAATTATGACCAAAAATGTCAAATATTCAATTTTAGTTTGATATTCAGTATTATTCATAGAAAAAGTGTGATCATATTTGAAAAAAATATATAATGTAACATAAAATACAATTTACAAAATTTATTATACTTAATATATTAATATTATATTATATATCAAGATTTGTAAACGTATAAAGCTATCTTCGAAAATAAATATAATTTTTTAATTATAATATTTTATGCTTAAGTAATTTATATTTTACTTTAACACTATTCAAAAATAGGAAATAATATTAAATTCTGTTCATATACATGTGGAAGATAATAAAATGAACTAGTTTAATAAACATTATTAATAGGAAAGATCAGTATATCGTGCATTTGAATAATTATATGTGTATATATATTTATATATATATAGATAATATTTTTATATATTTCATTTATATTAGCTTCCATTATTAACGTATAAAAGAAAATTTTTCAAAATGTAAAATTTTGCAGAATAGTTTTAATTAATAGTATTTTGAACATCTTTACATTGTATATATACGATTCTATTTTAATAAATTAAAACTAAATTAACGTAAAATAAAAAATCATAAAATCAATTTAAATACAACTTATTAATTTATTATTCAAATTTTGTATTAAAAAAAATAATTTAAAAGTAATTTAGTAATAACAAATTTAAGTTCATAAAAACCTTGAAAATTATTTTCGATTAAATTTAATTAAAATTTTATTTTAATTAATGTGTAATTTTTAGTAAATTCATGTTAATTAGTAAGATTTATGTTAAAATTACTTATTACATTTTAAAATAAAATATTTTCCAGGGTATTTCAAAAATATATTCCATTATTCCTACTACATTATAAAATTAGCAAATGTGTCATTATTTTTAATTACAAATATTTTAAAATTGCATTTAAAGGGTACAGTTTGTAAATTTAGTTCTTTTTTATTTACTTTTTAGTCGATTTTTTATAGTAATTAATTAACTGTAGATAAATAAATTATTACAATAATATAAACATATAAGATCAAACTAACTGAATTGTTAAAATTTTATTATCATTTTTAATTTTATTAAATAATTTTAATAATTCATGTCAATAAAATATAATAAATTTCATATTTTCCAAATTTAGAATATATAGAATATTTTAATTGCATATATAAATACATATATATTTGAGTTAAAATTGAGTTAAAATAGATATTAATCTATTAAGATTATACTTTATGCAGCGATAAAAAAATCACCAATTATTTGAATAATAATTCAAATAATTGAATACTGGCTAACTAATTGATAAGAATACGAAAATACGTGTTATTTGTACTATGACAGGAAAAATTATATACAATTTTACTTGATATTGGTATTGTTAAAAGAAATAAATAAAATAATAAAAACATAAACCTCATTTTTCGTAAATACATAAAATAAAAATATGCCTAAGCTGATTACATTAATGAAAGGAAAATGAAAGAGTGCAGCATCCACGATGTAATTGAAGAATTAAAGATAGACAATGAAAATGGCAATTACACTTAAGATACTACCAATCATGTTTGCCTTTTGCTTACATAACGCATGCGCACGTGATGCAAACACTGGTAATGCATGATTTTGGATATCGTTTGATTTCTATGTTTGTTAAAAGTAATGCTACTTTACATACATTTAAATTATTAATATCTTAAATATTTTATAAAAGTAGATGCTGAATTACTTAATTGATATTTATTTATAAATAAAAAATGTGATTTTAATTTACTCGTTAACTGATATTTTTGGCTATTAAATTTAGTTTTAAATCAATGGATTAAAAATAAAAAATTCGAAATGCTTTATAACAGAACATTTCGCTTTTTATTATAACCAAAAAATTACTTAATATAAAAGTAGTTAATACATAAAAGTTATTAAAATAGCTATTTACATAACCTTCAAAATCGTCTACTCATATATAAATTTATCCTATGTGAAAGATTCAGTAAACAGAAAATGTATGATATTTGCCACCCTACTGTGAGTTCTATAAAATAAAAATTTTTTTCTATAAATTTTCTTTATTTTATCCTTAATTTTTCAGTATTATAATATGAGCCAGTTAGGCTGTAATGATCAAATTAAATTAACCACAGCTTTTTATGTATACATGGAACTTTGCGAAGGTAATTAAAAAATTAATAAGATTTACTGCCAAATTTATATTTATATTGATCCTCATTTGTAGTGAAGCGTTATTGGGATGTAGAATACAAGTATTGTAATACGTTGCAACTTTTTTATCTTGAAGCTAAGAAGTATAAAAAAGCAAACATAGATATATTTATACCATGGCCTGCAATGAACAATATTACTCTAGATATAATTTATAGCATTCAGCATAAATTAGAAACAAATAAGTAAATATTAAATAAAATAAACAGATTATTTAAAATATTTACAAATTTTTTTTATTTTTAGATTCACATTTGTTTTTAAAGAAGGAGATACAACGTCAGTATATTATAGTGTTTGTACAGGTATTATAAAACCTATAACCCCTAATGAAACCATTATATTAAAACAAAAGGAAAATAAGAAATTTGAACTTGAAAAAGAAATCAACAGGAATATTGCAAATTTATATGAACGTGCATTATTACTTAATGATGATGAAACAGAAGAAGCAAGTAATAAATCAAGTAAGAACAATATAGAGAAAGAAGAAAGTAATATTAAACATTTTTATATTCCAATGGAATTAGATAGTCTTACAAAAGAAGAATTATGTGATTTAAAAATTTTAAATGATTCAGGAAATTCGACTGTCAATACACTAAAACTATAATACTACCACAAATATAAATAAAAAACATACATGAGTATATATATGAGATAAATATATTTACTACATTATACTATATATACTAATATATAGCTTTACATTATCGTAATAATGACATTATGGACAACATAAAAATTACTAATAATTTACATTTAATTAATAAACTTTAACAATTCACAAAAAAATGGAATCTACATAAAACAAAAAAAAAAATAGAAAAAATATTGTTTGCACTATGGGTAGAGATGGAACTGTATAGATTATTACTACATACTATCTGTAATTATTCAAAATAATACCTATAGTTAAATGACATGCTGAATAAATTAATACGTACAAACATGATGTAGTTGTACTGATTATCATTTAATTATTATATGTCCAGGAAAATTATTAATATTAGAAATGATAAATATGTAATTAATATTTATTTAATAAAATCAAATATATAAATAGTTGCAAGAAAATAAGTTATTTAATATTCATAACTTTCTATACATAATTTAAATATATACCTTTTATTACGTTAAATATAAAAATTTTTATTTATTTTATATTTTTTTGTTTAAAATTTTAAATTAATATTAATTTTTTTAATTCAACTGTAACTATAAATAATAAATATTGTTTACTTTGTATTTAATAAATTAAAAAGATATTGCATAAAATAGTAGGATGGGAAACAGAGAAGATTAAAATATTTTTTGAATAATAAGTAATTAATTAAATAATTTTCTCTCAAATAAGATACATATTTCATTCTTCATAATTTTCATTAACTTAAAAAAATATTCATCCAAAAAAGTCTCATTAACTATTTTTAAATAACGATGTTTAAACATTTTATACAAAACCTGCATTTTTTTTATTAATTTCTCATTGTCTCATATTTTAATATTTTTATCATAAAATGAAAATAAAAATAATATGACTTGATTAAACTTACTTTTGATACTAAATTATTAAATAAAGATAAATTATTTTAATAACTAATATGTTAAATGGATTATATTAATAACGTATTACATTATTAATTAAAATATTGAAAATAGTTTTGTCCAACTGATCGATTTATTACTCAACATAAATATTAACTACATTATCTATTTAAAAATATTAATTTTAAATATATATCAAATTGCATTGATAATTACAACTTTAAGGCAATTAGAGTTTTATTATCACAAAGTATCATATCATTAATCTTCATATCATGATTATTCTTTTTATTCTATAAAATCACTTGGACCAATAATATTCAAAATTTTCGAAATATTTGCGGATATAATATTAATTTTCAAATTTATTATGATATGTTTTAATGAATTTTATTTGTACTCTATTGTTTCCAAAATGTTCAATTATATACTACTTTTAAAAAATATATAAAAACTGTTAATTCCTTTTGTTTTATTTTAAAATTACATGAGTAATATTTAATATAGACAACTATTAAAAACTTAAATAGTTGAATGATCTGAAAATTCTAAAAAATCTAGTCATTTATATTCATTTTAAAGCACATTACAAATTTACTTGCCTAATAATTATATATAATTGTTATTTCTTTACTCTTTTTTATAGAGTTTAAGCAATAGTTATACATGTAAATGTATTTTCAATAAAAAAAAATAATATACGATTTCAACAAATTGAATACTTATTTTCTACAGATAAAAAAGCTGTATTGTAATGAATCGCTGTTTTATATAATTTTATTTTATCATAATGTATCACTTAGAGATTTATTTGTTTTTTCATTTTTATTTTTAGACTGTACAATAAAGAACTTTCAAGCAACAAAAGTAATGCATAAAGATATAAATTTAATTCTCACAGACAATGATCCATACATAGTATTATTCTCTAAATTCATGTAAAATTTCCAGTTAAGCAAAACGACTTTTATCGACGTTCTCTCGTCGTAAAAATATAACCATATTTCTTCTACGGATGTTCACTTATAACTTTTCAATTCATATTCGTATTTTTCAATCTTTTTCTTTATCTTTTTTCTTTATACACTTGCTTAATATAGAACATTGTATTAAATGTAAAAATACTTAGTTCTAACATGTAATTGAAATATAAAAACTATACAAATAATGAATCGCATAATGAATGAATAAGTGAGGGATTTTCTTTTCATGATTGTTTAACTAAAATCATTTGTAACAAATTTGTAATCAAAAGAGCTGCATCAATTTTAACTTATTAATTAAGACTTAAATGTATTTTGAAACCCTGTTTCTTCATTTTATTATAGCTAGCACCAATCAGCCATGTAGGTAAAATCCCTGAACAAAGCCTGTTCCATTTCACTTACTGGTCGTGGATCTTTTGGTGGTGTAAGTTGCGGTTTTTCGGATGTAAATTCTTCATCAAAATTGCTTACATCCTCTACTGAGTGCTGTAAATATATTTATTTTATATGTACGCATTTGTCTACTTAAACATAAAATTTTTATTTTATTTTAATAACAAAACAAGAATCCTTTTTTATTTAATTATAAGTTTTTATTTAAATAAAAATATTTTAATTATAGTACGTCTAATATTTGAATTAATTATTACTATATTATATTATAATTTATTATTATAAATTATTGGAGAACCATACTTTAAAAACATGTTAATGTCTTAATAAGATGAACAGACTATTCGATTATAAATATATTTATTTGTAAATTTTTATAAATAATTGGTAATTCATAAAAAGACTGCAGATAAAGTTTCCTTTCTTATGTAAACTAAATTTTAAGATTAATATTATCATCATCAAGTTGTTAAGAAAGTTATAAATATTTCTTAAATTATATTTTTAAGAAAATAACAAAATAATACGATTTGATAATTAAATAGAAAATATTAAATATTTTAAAATCAAAATCAATATTATTATTATACTGAAATTTTTAAATATGTACAAAATGAAACAAAACATCACTTGAAAACTATTACTTTGTTGTACTATGATAAAAGAACAAAATATGTTTTTCATAATTATAAAATATCTATTAAAATGTATACATAAAGAAATAAAGAATATAAATTACATACTACAAATGATGAGTAATTTTTGTGCTTATTTTATATAATTTTATATATATCAAAATTCATATATCATATCTTTATTAAAGATTGTAAATGAATAATGTGTAAAAATTATTTCTTTAAATTCCAGAAGATTTTATTAACTTGAAATTTAAATATTTATCTTTGTATAAATTATGCATTAAATTTAATATACAATATCAAATATAATATAAAGAATATATAAGAATATAAATATAAAATATAAATATAATATATGAAATTTGTATACCTATACGTTTTTTTATTTTCTAACGTAATATATAATAATTCAATGATTCAAATGATTGTACTAATTTATATATTTTTATTATACTATAATCTTGATAAAATTTACTTACAATAAATTTCAGTTACTTTATATTATATTTTAATATTTATAATGCAAATTATATTGCATTGTGCTTTACAACAAATTGAATGTTTATACTTTCTTTTAGAATGATAATAATAATAATAATGCATTAATATCTTTATTTAAATATTTGGTAGAATAGAAAAATTACATTTTTATTAAAATTTTTATAATTGGAAATTTTATTACACATTATTAAATTTGATGAATAATATCAAATTTTAATATAATTTATTATATAATAAATATTAACATTTAAAGAAAACGATTTTATACTTACGATAATTGGAACAAACGGAGGTTTCACACGCCTAAGCAGTAAATCGTCCCAAACAATGTGCCTAAAAAATGCCTGTTTTTTAACATCTTCGGCATCTCGTTCGCTGCTTCCCAATCTTCTTTCTGGAGTTTTTCTTAAGAGCTGTATATATATATGTATAAAATTACAATATTACAATATCCCAATGACTTATAAAATATATTTTATGTTATTCAGAAAGTTAATTTCATTTGATTATTAATTTTGAAAATCTTACTCGTCTCATTATGGCAATCGCATGCAAGGACAAAAAACGTGGGTAACAAACTTCATCGTGAACAATCGAGTCAAATACTTCTTCCTCGTCATCGCCAGGAAAGGGTGACTAAAAAATGTTGATATACAAATTTACTCTATAATTAAAATTAATAGAGAACTCACTATTCCTCAGACATATTTATCAATATTAAAAACTTTCTTATGAAATAATTATTTAAAATAATTAAATTATTTTATTTTATATGTAACATGTGGTTTTTATAAATATTTAAAAATTTTCAATATTTCGGTTTTTATTTTATAAAAAATTACTTTTATCGTGTTTAAACATTAAATAAATCAATTAATATATACTTCTCCAACAAGCATTTCAAAAATCAATACTCCGAGTCCCCACCAATCAACAGCACGTGTATAAGATAAGTCTGTAAGAACTTCAGGAGCCAAAAATTCTGGAGTACCACAGAAAGTTCCTGTACGATCTCCATAGCCCATACCCTCCTTGCACAGGCCGAAATCAGCAATTTTTACATAACCCTCTGTATCCAAAAGTAGATTGTCTAATTTCAAATCTCTGTAACAAAGTAATATAAAGTTTAAATACACTCTAATGTTTATACTATGCTTATAATTATAAACTAAAAGTGCATTATTATATTTTAAAATATAAATAATGTTAATTTAAATACTTTTTAAATTGAAAGTAATAGTTGACAGATTTACTTTACTTCGCTAAGAATCGAATTTCATTTTTATTTCAAATAAATCTATTATAATTTTACCTGTAAATAATACGACTTTCGTGGAGATATTGTAAACCTAATACAACACAAGCTGAATAGAAGACAGCGCGTGGTTCTCCGAAAACATCAGCATGGATATGCATCATCAGATCGCCACCGGCAGCATATTCCATTACGAAACAAACGTGTGCCTGATAATTACAAGAAATGTATTGATAAATATCTTAGAATAACCTTGATAAAACTTCGTATACATTTTGTTTATACATACATCGGTTTGAAAGCATGCAAAAAGATTGACGAGGAAGGGATGCCTTGTAGCATTGGCGACCTCGAAAATCCGCTTCTCAGAGAGAAGTGACTCGACCTCATCTCTCGCTATAATATCGCCCTTCTTCAATGCTTTTATCGCAAAATACTCGCCCGTATTTTTATACTGAGCGAGTATAACTTTGCCGAAGTGTCCTCTACCGAGAACTGAAAGCAGCCTAAAGTTGTCAAGACTCATGCCTGTCAACTGTGATTGTCGACGAGATTCGTAGGCACTGTCACGGTATTGGAGCGGCCTCGTTGGTAACGGCACCTCGTACGCTACCTGAGCTCAATTATATATTTACTACGTTATTCTCGATTATGATTCTAAGATTATCAAAACGTTGCAAAAAATTCTTGATAATTAAAAATCTCTACAATCAGAAACAATTTTTCATTTGATCGTTTATTTGTTACTCTTAAACTTGTTAACAGTAAATTTGATTATTTTTAATAAATACTAGTTGCACTGTAATTGTAAACAAAATACATACGAAAATTAAAGGTAAACATTTGATATTATTTTACAAAAATTCGGTTCTATTCTATACTTAATGATATTTTATCTCTAATATTATTATTAAATAATTGTATAATTATTTAATCATTTATAATGCAATTAAAACAAAATAGAGTATGACAGACATAGTTTAAAATGTAAATTTCTATTTTATCAATATAGGAAATTTGTATAAATGTATTAAATTATGTAAATATCATTTTAAATTCATATTGTATAAATTTCCTATCATCAAATAATCAAAATACAAAGAAATGTCTGCTACACTTTAAATAAAAATATTAATTTGTAAAACATTAAAAATATATTCAAAAATTCAAAAAAATTTACTTTCTTAGTACTAAATATAAAATATAAGTATGATAAGAATATTTAAAAAATATAAATGAATTATGATTATAAATGTTTATTGATATATTAATAATAGAGAATCTTTTATATATAATTTGGTATAATGTTATTCAATTTCAACAACATTCATTAAGACTTCTAGTATCTCATATTACAATCAATACTTAAAGATAAACCGCGTTGCTGGAGATATAAATCTCCCTTGAGGATTCCCCAATAAATTTATACGGTGATTTTACAATAATAGTAGAAGGTTATATTTGTTCAAAAATATATTTATTCAATTTTGTTATTATTTTAGATTCAAAATCAGAAATTTCATAGGATGTTAAGTCGATTTTAAACTAATTATAATTTAGTTATAGTAATTATAAAAATTTATAATCACATTTACTTTATTCTGTTATAGGTATTTTTTGTAATTAAAATATAAACAATAGAATACAACTTTATGTAGTTAATGTACATAATTATAAATGACTTTAAAAAATTCACTTTCATTTAATCTGTTTAATGTATTACAAATTTTGTATGCTAAAACTAAACTAGGTTGAATTGTTATGAAAAGGAATTCAAAAAAGCCATACAACACAATCACAAAAAATCATTAGAAACAAAAAAAGCGGACGGAAATTGTTTTAAATAATTTTAAGGTTGAACAGTTATAATACTCCTGATAAGAGCTACAATATTTCTCGAAAAAAGAAACACAAGATGATCATTTTTTCTTTGAAAGATATGCATTTGTTTAAATAAATAATAAGTTTTTATATTTTTCAAATTAAAAATAATTCATAATTTAATATGTACAAAATTATTAAGTTTATATTCAATTTTAATATATTTAACGTTTGAATATCACTCAGATAATAAAAATAGTAAATTAAACAAAACGAGCAAAAATTAAAATAGAATAAAATAAAAAAGAACTAGATTTTTTACTATATTGAAAAACAATAAATTCTAATTGATTAACTTCTTATCTTATTTTTTTATTCTGCATTTCTTACTAAATTATTTATTAAAGTTTTTATTAAAAATTTATTAAAAATTTTCTTCAATATGAATTATTCATTAATAATTTATTTATATTCTCAATATTGTACAAATTATATCCGTTTACTCGTTTCGTCAAATATATAAATATGTCTTATTTTAAGGAAAATCTCTATTTTTAGAAAGATGAATTGCCTTTTAATTTATTACAACATAGCTACTAATATAATAATAAGCTAAAAGATAATTTTTTAAAACATTTATATAAAAATAAGCAAACAAATACATGCTGTAAATATGAAAACATTTGATCTTTTAAAACTAACACGATATAACCATCACCAAATGAAAAGACCGAAAAGCCATGCTAATTTGTAAAAACTTTCCACTTTTCATTTTCAACATTTTTGAGAGGCTGTAGTACCTCTTCGTCGGGAAACTCAACGACAGGTTGCGGCGAGGGGGTGCGTGGAGAGGGTGGCGCTATCAGGATGGGCCGGGGTTCCGTGACCAGAGGCCTCAAACTTGCCCCCTGTTGCCCCGACTTTTCTTCCTTGAGAAGAAAATCAAACTCCCGTAACGCGCTCTGCAACTACATTACCCTCCTGCTTAATAATACTATCTATCTCTTTCTCCAATTCTTTATCTGTTTTACGACATTCTTTATACAATAGATATGGATGAGTTTCAAACGAGAACAATAATGAACACTAATTAATTTATTTACAAAGTATCATAAAATTACGGTATGTATAATTAAATATTTATTTCATTTTATACAATAATAATACATTTATGTCGTGCTTACCAAAATTCTTAAGCTTTTTTAAAACAAAAACAAACATTTGATATTTAATTTTTTTAATATTGATATTTTATTGTTGAGTTCTAATTTATTTTAAATAATATATTTTTATTAAATATTACCAAGTTTATAAAACTATATTCGACTAAAAATTCAAAGGACCAGTTTTCAATTATTGTCTAATTCAAATTTATGTCTACTAATCTATGAATATTTAAACTCCGGAATATGAAAACTATAACAACCAATATATAATTTATTAACAAATTCTATTTAATGGCACTGATAAATGATAAAACTTTGTAGTGTATAATTTCAATTAAAATATATTTCATTCGAAATATATTCTTTACGAAATAGTATGTAGAGTATATGAAAAAATATATACATGTGGTATACATTATTTTCATAGTAACTAACTAGTATAATTATGTAACATTTGATAACAAATGATAAAAAACTATATTGCGATTTCAATCATTAAGAAAGGTTAAGGATTTTGAAATGATTGGTAAATAAAAAAATCCATTTTTTTAGTATTCCACATACAAGTAAAATCCTTAACATTATTTATATATATATATATATATATATATATATATATATATATATATGTATGTATGTATGTATGTTTGACAACATGATATATAATTTGTTTATTTTATTAATTTCATATTCACAAAATTATTAATATATGTATTTCATAGAATGAAGCTTTTTAGGATATAAAATTTTAAATAATATTTTAAATATTTTGTTTCAACATTCTGTTGAATACAACTCATAATGTATCCATAGTAGATTAACTGAATCCATTTTTAAAATAAAGTTTACAAAATATTTACTGTTCTTTAGTTTTTTTAAAAATTAATATTTGTAAATATTAAAAATTTATAGTTAAATGATAGAAAGATAGAATAAAAAGAAATTTACATAAAGGATTAGAATTATATTTCTCGAGTATTCATCAAAATTTAATGCAAGTATATGCATGTTATTTGATCTTAATGATAATAACTTTTTATATAACATAGATAAAGATATAAATATTTAACAAATTAAAATCTTTTGTTAATTTAATCATTTACATAACAAAAACTATCTAATTAAAAATGATTTTTATAAATTAAAATTAAAATTTATTTATGAGAATATTAATTAAATTATTAACATATTTATATGTAAATTTAAATAAAAATAAAAAATGTGTAAGGAAATTATATTAAATAATTTGATTGAATTTTCAAATAAAAATTAAGCATAAATTATATTTTTAACCCAAGCTTAGCTATAACCTAGTAATAAGAAGTTAATCATGAATCTTTAAATGTAAAACGCATTGGCATATGCTGTAAAACCATAAAGTTTCATTATGTGCTTATATTTATATTATGGATATAATTAATTATCTATTCCAATAGAAAATTGATTAAATTGCCGTTTTATTTTAATTGCAAAGCGCTGTTATTATTTATGAGTGCATTTGTACCCTCAACCCTACTGCTATTATCACATAGAATAAAAAATAAATTTTCAAAAATTGTAAATGTACTAATTTTACACTGAAAAATATTAGGTTAATATTTAATACACCGAGGAATTACTTATAACTATTTTATAAAAGCTTTTTAATAATACAAAAATTAATTTTAGTATCAAAGAATTATATCTTAAATTTACTATTAAAATAATTGTAATATTTTGAGTAATTTTTTAAATGTAATTTCTATATAAATATCTAAACTGCAAATTAAAGGAAAGTAATTATTAAAAAGTTTCTTAGCGTAAAGTAAATGAGAGAATATGAAAGTGCTGGTGCATAAAACGTTTAAAATAAGTACATAGATATTTATGTAAAGTGGAGATTTATATAAAGTCTATAGATTGATTTGCTTAGTATAAAAGACAAAACAATATCGGGCGCTCACCTCTTGGTCGATTTTAGCCGGAGGCGGGGGCGGTGGTGCGGGCATGTTCGATTTCTTAAGTATTGGCGGTGGTGGGGGTGGATGATCCGGCGGATGAGGCAAAGACGAAGAAGATGAGGAAATTGATGTACTACCATAGCAGTCGTTCATCGAAAAGTGTGATATACCAAGGGGACGGGTCCCGCCAAGGCCGCCTTTGTCTGGATTTGGCAATTCGCCCGGTGTTTCCAGCTTATCATCTGTTGGCGTATCGAACATCAGCTGCGACGGTTGTGAACCTAGATACAAAGAAACTTTACATTAATTAATATCATTTGAACTAGGTTGCGAGTCAACAGCATAGTCCGAGTATTATCAATTAGTTTCTTTTTTTTTTCATTAACTTCTTTGATTCAAATGAATTTAAAAATTTGATATGAATACTATATAATTTTAACAATTTAGTGTTCGTTCAATTACTCTTAATATGCTGTGCTCAATGCTTCAATTACACTCAATAAATTATAAATATGTTTAAATGTATGAATCAATTAAAATATTTTTAGGTAAATTATGTATAGTTTTGTATAATTTATGAGACTTAAAACTGTTTTATTACAAAGATTATGTTCGAAAAAAACAACGAATATCGAATATAAAAGAACGATAATCTAATTTTAATTAGTTAACTTGTATGGTTTTTTGTTAAATAATAAATCTTTTATTATTGTCAATTACATTAATATAATATTTATTTAGAAAATATATAATTCATATTGATATACTTCCAGATTTAATTTCAGTTTAAAGTAAACATTTAACTATTTTAAATTATAGTAAAAAAAGTTATAAAAATTGAAACAATATAAGAAAATTGGTAACTTGCAAATATTATTTAAGTTCTCAGATGTTTATAAAAGTAAATAGAACCATAGAAAATATATTTAAAATTTTTCTATTAAACTTCCTAAAATTAGTACTGCCATATAATTAATTACATATACTTTGATTTAATCAGCTTCCTTAGAAAACTTACCAGAAGGTGGACTTTCAGAATTCCGCGTATTATTCAAGGATGGTGCGGATCTTTTGAGAAGTCTGCCCCACGTGGCAACGTTTATATTCATTTGATTGGCTCTTGGGAAATTCTTAACCTGCTGTTTAAATATCTTACGTTGCCTCTGTAGCTTGGGTTTCCTTGATATCATCGGATTGAGAAATTTGATCTCGGCAAAGAGAAGACCTTGAGGTTCAAGCTGGAGTGCCATGCCGTGCCTTACATCATCGATAAACTCTTCAAGCCGCAGAAACTTAACAGCACAGAGTGAGCGCCAGTCCTTCCAATAGATACCGATTTCTAACTCTCGGGATTTGTCTAGCTCAATTGAAAACCTCTGGTCCCAGGCCTGCTGTGAACACAGCCGCCAATTTGTCTGTGCAACTGTTACATTATCCAACTTTATCACTGCCATTATGTCATCTGCAAATGATTTGCGTTTTAAAATTTTTTATCTGATAATTAGGATAATTTATACGCAGAACAAATTATTAGATTCCAGCCTAATTACAAATATAAGAAAACATTTTGTTGTAAATGTTTTACGGTATTTTATTATTAATTTTTTATTATGTATATAATTATGATCATTATAGTTTTAATTATAAAGTTAATTAAATGATTAAACCTTTAAATAAAATAAATTAATTTCGCTATACATAAATTCATAAATTCAATTTTAATTTAAAATACTTTTAATAAGTTAATATATAAATATATATTAATAATATAAATTATTCAAAAATAAAACTATATATTTTAAACTTGAATAAGTGTAATATATGCATCTGCTTATTAATACATATGAACTTGCAAAATGTTAATGTTGAAACAATTCCACATTCCGTACTATACTGGGAACACTCATTTAAATGTGTTATAAATTTTAATTGTTTTCATTTATTTATTAATAACTTTATTTGTATTATATATTTACTTGTATTTTTATTATACAAAATTAAATTATGTTTTTATATATAAATTTTTGTAATTTTATGTTAAAAGCATATTTACTTGTACTTTTTATATAAAGTTAAGTAACAAATAAATAATCTACAATAACAATTCTTTAGTTAAATTTTTAAGATTTTTATTGTTTAAATGATTTTTTATTAGTATGAATTTAAACCAATTTCCATTTATATAATTAAGATTTGAAAAGATATATATATTTGTATCGTACAACAATTTTATTTAAAATTCATTAGATATTATGCAGTAAAAATTGATGTTATCATTAATAATAAATTTCGAAATATTGTAAAATATTTTTTAATTTTGTGTAAAATGAACATATTAAACATTTATTTTGCTTACTACTTGTTTCATCTTTAACACTGTAGGATTTACTAGAGCTACGACCCGTTACACCTTTTACAAAACTACGTAAATCAGGACTTGCTGGATGTTCTCGTCTCGTGCGTCCCGGTATTTCTTCAGCTAAATCTTGACAACCCATTAACCTAACCTATAATTGAGATACATAATGATTATTTTAGTTAAAAATAATTAAAATGTATATAATTTGTATTCCCTAAATATATTTATTTATAGCAATAACACAACTCTAATAAAAACTACTAACCAAATAAAAATATTATAGCATATCTATTTTAATGTATTTACATTAAATTGTTTTAATTAAATTAAATACAAATACAATAATCAAAATGGATATTGGATTATTAAATTGGTCTTTTAAATAACAGTAAAATAACTTATTTTAAAAGAATAAAATTATTAGAAATAAACATAATTGAAATAGAATTGCATTAAAGGTTTATTTATAATAACGAACATATAGTTTATTTATTTATTCTACATCATAAAAATAAACTGAAGTAAGCTTTATAAATTAAAAACATTCATTTTACTTTTATTGTCCATACGTATAAAATATTACAAGACTATAAATGTATTTTCAACTAAATTTATACTTTCACTTAAATTCTTTATCGGATTTATTTATAAAATCTTTTATTTTGTATAAATATTCAATACCAATACAATGTTTTAAGAAAATAAATAAAATTATAAAAAATAATGTAAAAAGTTTTGTACGAGAAAACTAAGAAATAAGGAACAGTGAGAAGAAATTTCCGTCATTATACAGTGTGTTAATTTAATAATTAAAAAATATTTATTTATAGCATAACGTACAAATATCGTACCTCAAGCTGCCCGGTAACTGCAGCGCATCTTGATACGGATGCGGGTACCGTGGTTCTACCCTCGAGTGGTCCTCGAAAAGGCTGAAGAGAGGTATAAGTAACAGGTATAGGACTCGCAGACTGGACAATGGCTAGCTCCCGCTTTAGCTGAGCGGCTGTCACACTATCGGGCGGTAGCTCCTGGCGACGTAACTCTAATGACAATCGTAATAGGTCCAACTTGCGGCTGGACTCCGCCAGGCTCGCTTGAGCCTACAAACGTTTACCAACAAATATCAGATATTAGAATTACGATACACGTTAGTAAATGGTTTAATTAAATATGGGTAATGAATATTAATGCCACTCGTAAAGAAAGAAAAAAAGTAAAGCAACCACTCAATCTTATGCTTAGCGTATTTTTATACTCCATCTTAAGATACTAAAAATTGTTAAATTACCTCTATGTAATTGATGCTGAAATATCGAATTGCCCAATATGATGTATTGTTGATGTTATAAATGTACTGGTAAAATATAGATATTTACCGATATTCCGCATTCTATTTACATTTATTCAAGGTTGACACTACAACAGTGGCAAACTTTTTACTTGGAAATTAACGAAATAGAAAAATTATATTTTAAATTACAATTTTTAATAGAGGCAGTATTAATATATATGTCACCGATATTTACAAGACGAAATTATACACGTAACTTAATGAAATATTATGAAGACAATCATTACATGGTATAGTTATTGTATAAATCATATGAAAATTTTTATAATCACCATACAAATGCAAGTCAAATAAGAACGTATAATAAAACAAGTACAGTTTTTATCTCATATCTCTATTTTTCACCTCAACAAAAATTAGAGAAATCTTTCCTTTATCATAGTTTGAGCATCTTCGATCTTTAAACAGTTATTAAAAAAAAAAAAAAAAAAAAAAAAAATTTGCCTTAGTACATTTTAATTCAAATATTGAAAATAATATATTCTTATGAATAAGGATTGGAAATATAAAAAATATTATTTATAAATATATAAAGTTATAAAATAGAATATTTAGTTAAACTAAAGAAACAATTTGATGCAACTTTACTTCGTAAATTATTAAAAGTATTTTTGAATTAAAAAGTAATCTAATCACAGGTTATATAAACCATCAACATAATATCACCTGTTTATTATAAAAGACTCATTTATAAAATAAATTATATAATCAAAATAATTCAACGCCTGATTTGTGTAATATTTTTGATAGAAAATTAATATTTAATATTAATTACTATTTAATATAAATAATTTGTATTTGACTGATTTACAAATACATATTAAAATTAACTAAAATAATTTCATTTTATTTCATTTTATGCCTAATAAATTTTATTAACAATTTTTGTAGTTCAAAAAGAAATTTTTTACTTAATACAAAAATTTTAATATAAATCATAATTTAAATTATTATAAACATTAAAAATAATAAAATTTATTTATTATATATTATATCCTTTTGAAATAATATATTCATATCTTTATGTAAATAGTAATCATAAAAATTACAATTTAAACACTTTCATCATTATATTATAATTGTTATATATATGTATTTATATACTGATTCGATAAGTTATAATCTTACTAGCATTTTTAAATTATAATTTTCATTACAGATGAATTTTATAATAATTAAGAAAGATGTCATTACATATGCGTATGCTGATATACAAAATAATAATATACATCAGGATATTTTAATTATAATTTTTGCATCGAAGAAAAATATCTTAAATATATTCAGATTTGCTAAATTATATAGAATAAATACAATTTTATTCTAAATTATTCAGACTTTGGATATTGATGATAGTAATAATAATATTATTATAAATAATATTTAGTCTGATAACAGTAGTCTTGATATTACAACTAATAATTAGAAATGAATCATTGAAATTCGTATATTGAATTATAGAGAATTTATGTTAAATGTTTATTTGTATCATCATAATATATCATCATAATAACGTATTTAAATTCCTCATAATAATAAATGAATGATTTATTTATATATAGAGTTGGATATATAATATTTTTTTTCCACTTTTTAGCTGTACGTCACTTTTTCTGAAAAATTACTTGTATTTATTATATACGATTATATATTAAATATTATATATAATATAATATTGCAATATATTATATAATATTAATAATATATATAATATAATATAGAATGTATATACATTATAGAAAAAAAGTCATACTTATCATATTCATTATAAATATTGTTGACTAATAATTCATAAATCTCTTAGCAAAGATATGTTATGCATTTGAATAGATATAACTAAAATAGATAGAAATTAAAATAAATATAAAGAAAATAGTTGTTTATAATTAATATATATTAATATATTTTTGTTTTCCAGCATCATTTTAATAATGCTATTTACATTTTATTACATTTATGTAAATATAAAAATAATATGTAATAGTCTATTAAAAAATTTCCTACATTCATTTTAGTCTATTGAATTGGGTCTATTGAATTTAGTATGAGCTGAATCTATTTTTTTTTGTTTTGATTCATTAGATTTAGTGAATGACAGCATTCTCCGATAAATATTTATTCGTAATGTCTTTTACAATGTTCACACGAACATACTGGGTTTTTCGCTGGCCCTTCATGATGTCCAGGCTTTTTAACAGTATTCACTAATCGACCAAAAATTGATGCTTTAATAATGTGATCTGTTTTATTACCTTGAGATGTAGTAAAAGGTGAAGACATTTTAGATTGTAGTTTCATTGGCGTTAGCAATGGACTCATTAAACCAAATGGACCAATTCTATCGTGGAATAAATTAGATTTTACTTTTTTCATTAGATTTTCTTGATTAATCTCTCGATTCATTCGAAATGTAGAAGGAAATTGTTTAGTATTACGATCGACTATATTTGTAATATTTAATTGCATCAATTTACGTTTTTCTGTAACAATACTCAAATTCTTTTCGCTTGATGCAAAGCTCCATCCATTCTCATCTACTCTATTATTTTCAGATTTAGAAATACTACTATCACTACTTTCAGAAGATGATTTGATCGGCAGATGTTTTTCGATAAAATCCTTCATTAATTTTTTTTCCGACAAGTATTTATGTTTCGTGGATGGCCACCAAATGTCCGTCTTTGTAGCAATACTTCGATCAACAGATTTCTTTATCATTGTTTCTAATTGCTTGATTCTTTCCTGATCTACTAAATTAACAAAGTCAACACTTTCACATGGTGTAAAATTTGTCTTATTCACTAAAGAATCGCTATCAGATATAGTATCCTTCCAAGAAGTAGATGATGCAGAATTATAGGTAATATTGGTGCTGGAAGCAATCGATGATTCTACATCTCTAAATCTGTTGTATGAACTATATTGTGAAGGATAAAGAGAACTAAATAATTCATCACTTTCATAACACCTTAAACTAGTTATAGATGGTATTTTCATTGAAATATCACATTTTGCAGTTACACGTTTTAAAAATGCATTCTCATGTTCAAAACCACGGGGTAATATGTCATCTTTAACATCAGTATGAATAATACACATGTTACTATCTTCAAAAATGATTTTTTGCATCTTCTTAGTCTTTCCAATATTATTTGAGGATAAGTTGTTAATATTATCATTTTCATCAATTAAATCATCGTCGGTACACGTACAATAAACATCAATGTGCACAGTACGTTTTCTTTTCTCACCATTGTCTCTCGCATTAGCTATTTGTCCACTAGTTGAATTTGATATTGCCTGTTTTACAGATGGCGCATGGCTTTTTATATTTACTGGCGTGTTTAAAAGCCAATCACTCTGCGAAAATTCATTATAATACTTATTCATTGTAATATTCATTGCAACCACTTATATTATTTTCAAAAATTCTATTGATCTAAAATCGACTTTTTTAATTATATTAAATTGAGAATATTAATAAATAACATTTACATATATCATAATTGACTTACTATAGGTAATTATATATATATATATACAGAATATTATATAAACACTTGTATTCTATACATATAATGTGTATTCATTAATCGATTTGTAATAAATATAAAATATATTGAAAACAAATTAATAACTATATTTATTATTTTTAATAATTTGATTTATGTATTATCAGAGATTCAAAAAAGATAATAAAGCAATAATATAATTATAGATAATTAATTAATATATTAAAAAATGATAAATGTATAAAATACAAAGGTATCATCAATTTTATAATTTACATATTTAATATCAATTATCTTCTGAGACTTACATTATTATTATTAAGCTCTTTTTTCTCACAAGAATCAGTGAGAACCCATGAAACCTTTTCTCTTAATTTTCGTCTTGTTATCGGAGAATATCGTGTTTCAATATCAATTGTTTGAGATGCGGCGTCTTTACTGCTTATCATAATAGTCTTTGGAGATACTTTAGTGGTATTATTAGTTTGAGTTATATATTTATTAGATAATTTTGTAAAACAATGCGTTTTAAAAGCCTTGTTATTAATATCAACTGTTGTACAGTCCTTGCGAATCTCGGTTTTTGAATCGACGGATGAAATGTGTTGTTGATAATAAGTACTCCATGGTCTTGGACATGGGAAATGCAATTGTTCTTGATATTGCCGATATGTTTGTAAATTATTATCTTGATTTGTCGGAGATAAAACAATATTATAAGTACTCTTACATCGTTTGTTGTTTAACTGATTAGTACTAGATAACTGCTCGTTACTATAACTTGAATCGAAATAAGGCATTTCGTTAGTTATAGGAAACATGAACTGTTCTACATTTTGAAAATGTACAGTTCTAGGGATAGTGTGTGATCTCATATGCAGAGACAACTCTGATAACGGTATCAAGCTAAATATAAGATTTTCTCTTTGAAATTCATATGCATCTAGAGGAGTAGTTATCGAATTGAACATTTAAAAACTGGGAGGTATTGTTGGGTATAATTGGAAATAATAAGCTATAACTCATTTGTATTCCATTTGATTCATTATTGGGGACAATATTACCAGCTCTACTTACTGCTTGAATTGTACTCTTATTTTTACGTCACGATGTATACTATATTTTACACTAACTAACCACGAAGTATTTGCACCAGATGTGCTTAAATTATCATACAGTAGCTTGTTCTCTTTTCGGTACATATTTCAAGATTTGATGTCTTCTTCGTATTCTATTCAATGACATTATTACAATAATGATTACTATATATCATTATACATGTTCAATACTAATTTTTTCAATCGTGCAAATTAATTTGATATTATTCATAATATTTAAAATTTTTAAATTAATAATTTTGCATGAACTAAAAGTATAGGTTATCAATAAGATTTATAATATTTTCTTTTTCTTTGAGTAATTTATTTCTAGGTAATAGTAACATTCAACGAAGTAGATATATTTTTAATTATTAATGTTTTATAATATTTGTTTTATGATATTTTCTATGCTAAAATTTAATAAATCACAGTATTAAATGCACTCCGTTTCATTATCCTCTTGATAGTAATCTCTTAATTTATGTGAAATTAAAGACAACATAAAATTTGTTAACTTATTATTTAATCATGAACTGAAAATTTACTTATTTCGGTGGTTTATTAGGCTTATTGACTTAGTGACTTGTTTAGCTGGAAATTAATTGATTTGATACCGATTAAATATACTAAATAAGAAAGATATTCAATAGTTGTTAAAAAAATAAATATCAAATTTGGGTTTATGAAGTGTAAATACATAATATTATTTAATTTGATTAAGTAATGTTTCGATTAATCAATTTCGATTTTTAATTTAATAAAACGCATCAAATTTGTAGAATAGAGAACACGTTTTTACACACTGCAGGTCCATGAACGAAGTAATTGCAAAAGCACTATTACACATTACCTAACGCAGACACCAAGTGTCCAAAATATTTAATATCAATTAAAAGCTCTCGATTTTATATTATATAAATGTACATAGATTCGAAATTAATTGAGTAAAGTATGCACTTCACCGCTCTGAAACAAACCGACAACAGGAGAGCTTCTTCGTAGTTTTCTTCGTCAACTTCGCCTGTATATAATTAGCACAAGATAAATTTGGAACGTTCGTAGGTCGACCCCATTATACCTGGAATTTGTAGTGGTCGAATTACTTTTTCATAATCGCTCAAAATTTACGTATACAGCTAATGAATGTAGATAATTTATTTACTAATAAGTATAGGTACATTGAATTAATTACATTCGATTCTATTTTCACTTTCCGTAACACTAATTAAAAAAATTCTAAATACTTCATGACTATTAACTGATAAATACGGTCTTATATATTAGTGAATTTAACTATGTTACTATAATTATAACAAACGTATCAAATAAACGTATTTTTGACTATTATTAAAAATAGATGTTTGTATAACAAGATATAACAAGATTTTTATAAAAAGATACTTGAAAAAGATATAATTAAACAAGTTCCATTTTTAAATTTATTATTTTCTTATTTCAAGTTGTTCGGGCTATTTCATTTCGCATTGAATTAAAATCTTAAATTTATTCTACAGTTTATCTTTAAAATATAAATCCAAATAAATGAAATAGAATAAAACTTCTACATAATAAATACATTAGAATTATTAATTTAACACTGTTTCGAGGCTAATTTTATGAACAAGCTTATACAACTTTTTTTTAAACTATCTCATATTAACTAGATTGACTAACTCTGATTAACTAGAATCAATATACAAATCTTCAAAATATTATACAGTGTCTTGTATAAATATGAATATTCAATGTTTTCTAATGTGTCTGATATCTCAGAAATCTAAATTAAAATAATATTGAAGTGGTTTTAAAATTCTTTTTCGCAGTGGAATAAATCAGTTGTATATAAATATTTTCTATATTTTTTTATAAAAAATAATTTGTCTTAAATCGTTGAATAAATTTTGACTCGCAGAAATGGTATTTCTAGTGTCTTTTTTTTCTTTTTCAACTATTCAATTACTTTTTTTTCATTTTTTTATTCAAAATTATGGAATTTATTTCAATTAAAAATTTATTATCGCCATAATTATTAAAAGATCGAAATAGACGATGTGTCGTAGTTTTATAGACAATCCTCTTATAATCTTAATTTTTATATTTTTTTGATACGCTTTCTATACTCTTACATCACCCCTTGGTTATTAAAAAACTATGGTCGTATAGTGTAAGTATAACTAATTAGTATTGACAATTTTTTTTAGTAGCTACTCGATTCAGAATATCACAGTAAATTAAAATGGAAAGATGACAAGAATAAAGCACAGATCAACACAGAGTTGAGAAATATAAAGACATGCAAAAAGAATAAACAAGTAGGATATAGAAGAAAAACAGGGCAATTTTTTTTTCTTTTTTTCTTTCCCCTTTAATGATTTTCGGTTTACAATTTAAATTATGAATTATAATCGTATATATACTTTACCGAAAGTTATATATATTTAATTAAGAGTACCTTAGTTATATTATTAATAAATTAATGAATATAAAACTTTAAATAAAATTAAATAATTTATTCGATTAAATTATTTAATGTAAAAAAATAAATAAAAACTTGCAGTACTGTTGCAATGAAATATCCCATAATAATTTGCATTTTTCGAGATCTAATCTTTAATTCTTAATAGTTATTTTATCAAAAAATTTAAATACAGTTATATTGTATTATATATATTATTATATTATCAATATTGCTTAAAATATTTTTCATAAAAACAAGAACTAAAATAAAATGAAACTATTTATTATAGTATTATTAAAATATTTATGAAAGTGTATTTATTCAATTTTTTGCATTTATTTAATTTCCTAAACTAGTAAACATCGTCAATAGGACATATGCATTTAATATTTAAATATTAAATAGTAAAGATTAAAATGTTGACGAATTTTTTATTTTCTGTATTTATGTACGTTAATATTATAATTATATATTTGCTAAGGGTCAATATCACGTATTATTTTTGATTACACAAATATTCATAAGTATTTAAGATTTTTTATACTGTTATATTTCTTTAAAATTATTGGAATCGTTGTTTAACACTGAACTCTATATGGAAGTAGTTCGATATGAAATATAATTTTTTATAAGAATTATTAAATTTTATTATAGAAGAATTTGTATATCATAAGCTTAGATTAACACTAATAATTTAAATAAGTTATGTATCATTATCTCATTTTCCATTTTTTTATAATAGTAACATTTAATTATACAATTTATCATATTTAACATCAAACGAAAAATATTTATCTATCGAATATTTTGTTCTATCAAATTTTTTAATATGTTCTTGAATTTCTCCGAATAGAAATTAATATTAATTATATAAACATTATATTTTATTACATACACCTAATGTTTAAACAGAATTCATTCAAATAAAAAAATAAAATTCATTTTATAACGCTGATAATTAACTATTATAAAGATTTACTAATTTAAATAATGGTTGCGGTTTCTTGAAATATGTGGTACATATATAGGGATTAGATTGTCAATATTTCAATTACATATACATATATTTTCGAATGTAAACAATTTCACTTTATTTTATCAAAGTACTTTCAACTCAATATATAATTATTTGAGTTATAGTAAAAAGTATATAGTAATAAATCGACTTTTTACCTTATGTTTAGTAACATGATCATTGTTACTACAATTGAAGTGACTATTCTGTAAAGTAATTTTGAAAAAATGATAGAAATGCATACATTTAAAATAAAAATATATCTATTTCATATTTTCAATAATCATATAAAGATATCTATAAATGTTGGTTACTAACATTATAAGGTTTGGATACTGATTAATATGCAAGAAACAAATCTGGTATGTGAAATAGAATTTATGATCATGTGTGAAGAGATGAAATTTAATGGGCGTATATGATGAGAAGGACAATCCTGACATTGCCCTTAAAGATAAAATATACTTTTCACTAAGTTTCAAGTCACAAATGACATATCCCTACGGGAATTATTTTTTTCGAATGTTATACTTAAAAAATTTACATTCGGAATATTATTTGGCCTGAACATGTTGTAATTACCGATTTATTTAATTTCTATATAATTTATATAATTTTTTACAATTAGTAACTTTGGAATAATTTATCCTATACTTGTAAGAAACTTGATTTGCTTACGAGTTGCAATTAATTCGATATTCGATATAAAACATGCTTTTGAATGTTTGAAAATAAAAAATATGATTCAAATCCAAAAATGAATATAAAATCTATCTTTAGAAATGTAAAACAATTATAAAAATCATATTATCCGAGGTGTTTCAACAAAGAAAAAGAATATCCAACGAAAATAATTTGTTGAAATAAGAAAGTTAAATTCAAAACTAATACTATAAAAGAGGTATCCAAATATTCCAAAGCTGTTGGAAAAATGTATATCACTTTTTAAGGAAACTAAATTGAAAAATAATAAATTTCGTGTATGAATTTTTTCACTTCTATTTCTGGAACTATTTTAAGTATCTTATGCATTTCTTAAAGAGAAAATTCTATTATAAATAATATTAAATATATTGAACAACAAATTAGAAATATATAATTATAGATAGATAATAATTATAATAAACTTGAATTCTTTTCATTTAAACTATTCTTACTTTACAATAATTTATAGGTATTTCTTAAAATATTTGTGAACATTATTAACTTCAAACATTTTTATTTAAATATTCTAAATGGTTTTAATAGTTTCAATTAATATATATTAAATTAATCAGTACGTAACAGATTATGTGTTTTAAATTTAAACTATTTTAAATGTAAATAATTTCTAATAGAATTGCAATTCTAAAGTATAATAAATATATTAAAAGTAATGTGGTTACCTTTACTTTCTGTAATATTATATGACAGGGATTTATTCATCTAACGATAAGCAAGAATGTTACCTCAGCTAAGGCCTTTTTATCTGCCACCTTGACACTTTGAAGAAGGCGAATTACGTTCTTGGCGCCCTCTACTACAGCTGCCTCGATTCGTAGCCTATGCCGAAGTTCCTCGACCCTTTCTTCCAACGCAAGTTCCAAATTCGGCTCGTATCTGACTATAAGCACAAAAGTCACTATTTCATACTTCATGCGTTAATTTGATTAAAACAAAAAGTATTTTTTCCATAATGATTAGATATCGTTGTACACGAAAATTCTTCCTTTTATAAATTTGGACTATAATTTGATTAGAAATATATAATAAATCAAAGTTTACAAAGTTGTCAGTCGAATATTTGGTACTACCAAGAGTACTAAATAAGAATACTAAATACAAAAAGACTCAGATTAAACTATAATTAAAAATACGAAACACCCGTGTTCGAGATTGAAGCCAGTTTAAGACCGCCGATTATTGACATCGCCGGCCTTTTAGATCTCAGTTTTCTGTGAACACTTGGGCGAGAATTTTCGTATACTTGTTATGTTTTGTTTTCAAATGGCCATAATGTTTATATGGTCTTCGGGTAATAACATCGCCCCGGATTCTCTAACGTTATTACGCCTTATTTTTTCTTTCGTCGAATTCTCGAAAGATCTAGATTTTTCTTTCTGCGCCTCATATAATATCCCAGTGCAGCAACGACGATGCTTTGTTGCCGGCTAACTGAGCCGTCGCGTAGATATATAAGGCAAGCACGCGGCGTGCCTCCCTCTCTTACTGAACCACTTTTGCTGAAGCTACCTCTTACTGAACTGCGCTTGCTGCTAACATCATGCCGTGACCCGACCGCAGTGAACCGATCTAACCCTCTACCAGTAGAATCCATGACACGGTCGGTATTTTCAGCAGAGCCGCCACGGAACGATCAAGCCTTTGGTTTCGTGCGCGTATTCAAAAGGCTTATAAGCTCATTGTAATTCTACCTCGCGTTTACTTAACTCTAATTACACTCAGTGTTTTAGTATATACTGTGACGACGACACGTGGCCGCAACCAACCTAAAAATACACGTGCATTATTAAAAAGAAATCAGCAAGATTAGGTAGTGATTTAACAGTGAAACCAATTGGAATAGTAATAAAAAAAGGGGCACACCAATAAATCAAAATAACTTCTCGGCAGTTTACAATGTACATCTCCTTATATTATTAAATAAACTAGTCGCAAGCGCGCAAATCACATTTCAGAAAATTGCCCTTAAAGAGTCGACAGGTGAAAGTGTACGTTCTCTCGAAATAATACTTCGTAATTGTGCAGTCCCTCAAACAGTCGACACAAGTGACGCAATACGTCAATTACATTGTCAAGGCTAGACAACCGTTTATAGAATAATCAACTATAAATACATTTTCATCAAGTCCTTCAAAGCTCGAAGTCTTGTCATTAATGACTCTTGCGTGTGACTAGTCCTTTCTACTGCTCCCATTATAACTAAAGACATAATTGATTACGCACCAATTTCCATCAAGACTTTTTACACTCTATCAAGTATAATCATTCTTTCTAACCAGCATATTTGATTCAAACACCATCTTCTCATGTTCGTTCATGAGCGTGATCGACTACACAGGCTAATGCTTACATCAGCATAACCTGAATTCTCAAGACACACAGTAATATCCATAGAATCTACAATAATCACGAACACAAGGAAACACCCTCGTTACTACAATAGAATAATCTTCTCTCTCAACAACAGTGTAATATTATTATAATATTTAACAAATAATAAACATTGTTTTTTAATACATAATACATAATATTTTTCAGCCCTTCCACTTATTATTTCCTCTTAAGTTATGACGAGAGACTAATCCACTGAACTATTGAATTGGCAGTTCGAGCCATAAAACAAACCCTCAATAATCGAACACTCGTATTTCCCCCCTAATAATATATTGTAAAATCAGGAATTATGAAATACTTGATATAAATACCGCTTACACTTTTACACATTCAAAATACTTGATATGAATACCACTTACATATGAGACAATTAAATACAAGACAATTAAAATAAATAAAAGTTTGATATAGTTAAATGTTTTCAATGTTTTATAAATTGCAGATTTTATATTTTTTTAATACTAAAATACATAAAATTATTAAATTTATAAAAAATATATAATATTTACAAATTTTTAATGATCTACTTACTATAAAATAGCTATTGAAAATAATCATTTTATTTATTATATTATTAATGTTATAGTATAAAATTCACTGCACTTCCTTACATGGTAATACTCATTTGGAAAATTTACAATTTAACCAATGTCTTTAATTTGTTAAAATATAGAATTACAGATAATTTAGAACACAATAGATTATTGTCTTAGTTTATGTAAACTTAAAAATCATAAATTATATAAAAATATTTGCTTAAAAATATGATTATTAAAAATATTTTTTATCTGCTATTTTGAATTTTTTAATTTAAAAAACTGTATAAGATATATATACATATGTATATCTTACATATATTATAATATATTATATGTAATATGAAAAAATATTTTCTAAACATTCTTATGGGTTTTTTAAAAAAAAATTTGAAAATGTATGCATCTATAGTAAATATTTCGCATGCATTTTAATAATTAAACGACATCATAAACGATAAAAATAATTAATTACCTTTATTTATGCTTGATTCACCATTGGGAGAAGGCGCTTCACCTCTCGCATGCTGTTGTTCACGTGCTTGATTTAATTTCATGATACGCATGCGTAAGAACTCAATTTTCGCACGAGAGTCATCCAGCATTTGCTGTGCTTCCTGCAGCAGTTTCTTGTCACGATGACCACTCGTTAAACTTTGGATCATATTCTCCGCACCCTGTTTAACCTATTGTCAAAACGGCTGATTATCATTTCTCTATAAAAATTGCCATACAGAATTTACATAAAAATATATAGCAAAAAATAGAAAATGTATTGAGTCAAATACATAAAATGTATTACATTACATACAACATAAAGAGATATTGTATATAACGAATATGATTTCATTGCACGTAATGGTAATATAAAAATTTATAATAATGCATTTATACTTTTAGTTTTTTAAAAACAGATAATTTAATACTTTTTATGGTCAAGAATACAAGCACATATAATCGTAAATATTTCCTTGAACAAAAAGACATAAATTTAAAAAAAAACAGCAGTTTAAAGTAAATTTTATTCAAGTGCGTTCCATTGTGACTACGTACGGTATATCAATTATTATCTTTATAATATTACCATAAAGGTAAACATATATCTTTATAATATTAACATTACTGAAGAAAAAACATACGAAATAATTTACGGATATTTTATATTAAATTTACATGTGTATTTTATGCCGAAATTATTATGGAAAGAAAATTTTTATTTATATGAATATATAGCGTTAAATATACATAAAATATATAAAATAAAATACCTATATATGGTGTCATATTATAATCGATCATATTAATAGAAAATAAATATAAAATATAATAATAATAATAATAATAATAATAATCATACTTTGTTTTTAATATATAAACATACATCTGTCGTTTATGATATAGTGACACAAAATAGATGGAAAAACTCTTGTAAGATATGATAAATTTCTGTTGTAAACAAGAATACATTTTTATTAAAGCACAATGAAAAATTATGTGAATAATGCAAATATTCAAAAACATATGCTATATATAAATATAAATACTAAATAAACGAACCTTTGTTTCTATATTAAGTTGTTTTTCCAAGGAGAGAAGTCTAAGATCTGTAAAGAGACCTTCTTGACTTGGAGAAGATGGTCCCATTGGAGACATAAGCGTGTCTGTAACATTATAAAAATAAAATTTTCTACATGTATATAATTCAAAATCATGATAAAAACTGAAATTCAATTCAAGGCAAATAATCTGATGAATGATATGGTATATTAATATAATTAGTACATATTTAATATTAATATGATTTTTACAAAGCATTACAATAGTAATGAGTAAAAAATACTTTTTGTTGAATAATAAAATTATAAAGTAATAATAATGTTCGAGACTGCGAGAACATTTTCCAATACCATAAAACATCTGGCAAAATAACATCATTAAATAGTCGTTAGACTTCGGAAAAGTCCTGCCAATAAAACATCTGGGAAAACATGTTGTTAAACTCGGGAAAACCCAGCTCATTAGGTAACTGGAAAGAATTACTATACCCAAAATCTAAAATCTAACAGTATGTACTCCCCCCCCCCGTGATCAAGTCCACGTAAGACCAAGAAAAGACTGAGCTTCTTGATTGAAGGCGATACCGCGAGAGGCGCTGCTCTCACTCTATAAGCCGCCAGCTCTCTGATTAGACACAAAAAAAAGGGAAGAAGTCCAAGTGGACACCATGGTCAGTGAACTGTATTTAAGAAGGACAACCATAAAATTTAATCACTCTCGTTGAAGTCCTCATAGAAAAAGAAAGTGGCAAAATTCCCTCAGCTGAGTCCAAGACTGGTCTTCGTTTATAGTCTCATCTGCTCAAGGAGTCATAGCCATCATCTCCCAATCAAGGTCTCTCCAGGAGCCAGGTCGCCAAGCATACTTAAATGAAATTTACAACTTCCTAACCCTGACTAAGGTGCATGCTAACGCCAAGTGTGAACTGCCCAGAACTCAAGAGTTCATTGATTGATATCAGCAACAAGAATCCTTCCTGTATCTGGAAATAAACGGGATACACAGCATATCAAACAGTTGTGTTAATATTGAATTTAATACGCTATCTCTCCCACTTGCCCGAACATTTCTACCACATAACATCTCGTGGTCTCTTAATTAATTCTAAATATTTTGGTCCTTCGAACAGGATAGCCGGATGTTGGTGAAACAAGCCGGATCATCGGACACATTTTTGTACATTTTTGGCCCTTCGAGCCGGATAAATGGAAGTTAGTGTATTCTTTCAGTATTCATACACTAGTAAGACGTGCTGTAACAGGAACAGATCTTATAAATACAACACTGTATTTCCTATCAAAAGGATACAAGGTGACAGCGTCACGATTCAATTAAATCTCCAAGACACTGTAAGTACTCCATAATTATTATTCTCTAACGTTACATAATACAACGAAAATGTCACAACGAGAAGAAGCAAACAAGAAAAACCAGTGCTGAGGTGCCCTCCTCACATGATAATTAAAATCGTGTAAATCGTAGCAGTACAAAGGAAAGACACCCAGTAGAGCTCAACGTGAAGGCGAAAGGACAGTGCAATCGTCTCATAGCAATAAAGAAGCACAGACGCTCCCTAGAAGAAGTCACAAGCATGAGGTTAGTAAACGACATACACAAAACCTTCATCAAGAACACAGCTATCTAGAATCAACATGACCAGCAGCAGTACTGGAAATCCAGAAATACTTTACAAACAATGTTCAAGGAGAAGATTCCGAAATTCATTCAATTGTGTATACCACAATAGATACACAATAGAGAACTTGAATAAATAATAAAAAAAACAATAACGTAGTCCGATCACACATCGGCCGGAATAGAAACTGCAATGGAAATGAGTTGTCTACCAGATATTCCAATTCCGAAAATTTCAGGCGACTATCTAGAATGCCCATTTTCCGGGATTTATTTATCTCAATAGTTATTAACAATAAAAAATTCAGCGAGGTGTAAAAACTCTATTACCTGCAAACATCACTGGAAGGTTCAGCAGCCAAGTCTGTAGCATGCTTTCGATTACAAAATGATTTGCTTGCACTGTCTTGGCAAGATCTATCAGAACGATGTGAGAATACTCGCCGATTAATACAGTTTTAACTTTATGAACTTCTGTCTGACATGTCTCCAGTGAAGGATGAATCAGAAGTGATTGAAGACTTAGTGAATCGAGCGACTTGCTAAAGAAACTACAGCATTTATAACTAAACACTGACACATGGGATTGTATAATTGTCTATCAAATAGTGCAAAGGCTCTGCCAGCATACGCAAGACAGCGGGAAAACTCAATAGATGACGCAAGCTCGTACCCCAGATACGAGCAACAAAAATCATTCCTAATGTCTCGAGTAATGGCCCTGGAACATAAAAAGCTGCCAATAACTCCTAGTCGATCAACGACATTTCAGCCACTGAAAAAGAAGCCAATTAGGGCCTCTGTGCAAACTGATGAAAGAAACCCTCCAGAAGCTTCGAAACACACCGCAAAATCACGCAAAAACCTCATGCCCAAAGTTCATTGAATGTCGAAAAAACAGCCCTCGTATTCAATACGTGCCTGTGTAGAAACTATCTACATCATAATCCAAACCAACGATGCAAGAGCAAAAGCAGTTGCGGAAAGTGTAAAGGGCGACATAATACCTTACTACATGAGGAATACTAAGTCAAAAGTAACCCATAAAAAACACAACTCATCTTCGCCCCATACAAGACGAGAAGGTGCAATCGTCATTCCATCAAAATCATTATCGTTGACAACCCTGTTGGCCACTGCCATGTCTAAATTAAGCTCACCATCGATCACAGTACAATCGACAACGGTTCCGAAGTTGCGTTCGTAGCAGATCATGTGAAAAAGTCAAAATATCCCGTCAACGTTCTGTCATCGCAATTCATGGAATTGGAGGATCCATCTCAACCCAGGCTAAAGGTGCTGTATCATTCACTTTTCAGTCACTTTATTCTAATTCTTCAGTTACAGTGCTCGCCCATATACTCAAATCATTGACAACGAAGCTTCCATCGTTTAAAACATCACGACAAGCACGGTCGCACCTGAGACATCTATCGTAAGTAGATCCAGTATATCTTACACCAATATCGGTAGATATTGTTCTTAGAGCAGATGCATATGGACAAATCATCAAGCCCAACATAATCAAGTTGTCTCCATCCATGCCAATAGCGCAACGATCTATTTTTGGATGGCTGGTTGTTCGGGATTGAAGCAGTCCCATGAATTTCAAACAAAAGAAAGGTCATATACGCAGTCCGGCGTACCGCATGTGCGCCTAGACTGACCGCGCGTGCAGCAAGGCTGACCACCACGTGCGCCTAGGCTGATCCGCACGTGC